ATTATTGTGAGATGAGATAACATTTGTTATATTTGTTATGAGTTTTTTTATGATATTTGTTAGGAGATAACACTTGGTGCAGTGCTTTGCACGGAGTAATCATTTAAAAAGTGCTTGTTTCCTTCTTTCCTTATAGATCTTTTTACATTTCATGAGTACCAAGACAGCACTCATGTTCAAAACTCAAGACAATACTTATTTGTCATCTCTCATTCTTGTAACAAGACTGAGACTTTCACAATATTACAGATTTCCATATGGATCAATATATGTAATGGCACAGGATGCTTCAGATCATGAAAAGCTGTAAGACATATCTAGGCATGATAATGTGGAGAGAGATAGCAAATAAAAAAGAATTTTATTTTGCATGCTAGAGCTCCAGATAACAAGGAACAGAAGAACAGGAGGTGGGTATTGAGCCATAATAAAGGAGAACGAATCATGATAAGTCTGCTACTTTGCAGGATTTGAACTAAGGTCTTAACTGACTTTAAGCCCTTCCATCTATCCAGTTATGCCACCTAGTTGCAGGGCCTCTGGTATCTCTTTGTATTGTCTGTGAGGCAATATGTAGAACAAATTATTGTAAACTACTTATTTTCCTAGGTTTTGCCTATTAGCATGGCTGAAGATCTTTGTGAATATAAATCTTTGTCCAGAAATGGGGGATTTAATTCTACATGGTGCTTAGATTCTTTTAGCATTTATTTCATTTTTTATTTTTTCGGGGTGAGGGGGTAAAAAAAGTGAAAAGTTTTTTTTCCTTTTGCTATTTCAGTTATTCTCAGTTTGATTTGGATTTTCTTTATGTAGAGCAACGTCTTATTAGGAATTTTCAGTCTTCCCTATATTCTGTTCATATTATATTATATTGCAAGATTATTTCTTATGAATGTTATATACTTTGAGTATTAAATGTGATTCTTTTTTGGAGGCAGAGCTATATTTATTCCTTCTGTGTTGAATTTTTTAAAAAAACTGTCTCTAGTAAAGTCTTCTCAGTTTTTGAAATCTACATCCCTGGTGCCAATCAGATTGTGAAGCAGCATAGTAATCTAATTTTTTGCATAGTTTTTAATTAAAAAGTAATTAAAAAGGAAAATTACTTCTTCATGTTGGAACTCTCAATTTCCCAATGTAAAAACCATGCCAAAGTAAAATGCTGAAAAGTTGTTGTATGAATAAGTTTAATCAAAATGTTCATATATGAGATATTAATTTAACTTTAATAGAACCATGTTAATATCCTCTTCAGAGTGTCATAAATCAAATTTTAGACCAAATATCTAAGTGAGTAGGCAGCCAAGATTGATCTTTTCATTTAAGGAATACTGTAGATTTCTGTGTATGACATTTATTTGTGCTATTAGATAGTTAATTCCTTGAAGATAGTGATTGTGTTCTGTCTGAGTTGTATCCAGTATAGTCCCCAGGCATATTACCTGTCACATAATAGGTGACCAAAATTTTTCTGCTCCTGGTGCACCAACGCTTTTACCACCAAATTTTCTACTTTCAATTTGGTATCTCCTTATCTCTGTTTAAATTCCTCCCAAGTCACCAGTGATCTGGAATGAATCTGGGATTTGGAATCAGAGGACTTTCTTCAAATTATGGCTCTGCTACACATTTTGTGGGCAAATCATTCAAAATCTTGGAGCTTCTATTTCCATACTTATAAAATGAGGAAATCTGAGATTTAGGGGTCTCTTCAAGCTCTTAGTTTGTGATTCTGTCATCTCCTCCTATTTAAATTCTGAGCTCTCTTTTTTCAATTTTCATTCTCCTTGACTACTAATTTGACACAACAGGATTTGATGCCGTTGACTCCTGCCTCATTGTAGGTATTTTTTTCTCCTTATGCTTCAAAGAGAGCACACTCTTCTTATTTTCCTCTCACCTCTTTATCCTTTGTTCGTCTCTCTCTTTTTCCCAACTCTTTAAAAGTGGGTGTTTTAAAGATGTTCCTTTTCTATTTTTTCAGAATTTTTTTTGGACCTTTTTGCTCTGACTTCCATGACTTTAGTTTACTTCTATAAAGATGACTTGTAGCTCTTTCTTTCTAATTTCCTGTAGAACATGTATACATATGTATATCCCCTGGATACCTCAAATTCAACTTAGGGTTATCAATTTAAATAATGTGGGATCGACCAATTTGCCACCATCAGTTTAGAACTGGAAGGGACCTTCAACGTTTTACCTCAAAAATGAACTTATCTCTTCTATCAATTTAGTCTCCTTTTTGCTTTCAGGCATTTTCTTTTCTTTTTTTAAAAAAATCTTTACTTCCTGTTGTTCCTATGGTCAAAATTATGTTTTCTTTAATGTTACCTTTTTTTGCTCTCGTGTCCAAGTTTTTAGCAAATGTTCATTTTACCTCTTTAACATCTCTTGCATCTATTTGCTCTTCTCTACTCCCACTGTTGCCATCCTAGTACAGTTTTGTACTATTCTCTTAACTGGTTTTCCCCACCCCTACGATTTCTTTTTTGCCGAACATTGATTATACTGCCTCTACTCTTCCTTATATAGATTTGGTAGTGATGCCATTTTCCTGCTTATAAGTGTTCAGTTATTCTCTATTGCTAGTCAGGTTCATTTCCATAGCCTTAGTTTTTGAGGTCCTTTAAAATCTGCCACCCTAAATTTCCAGTCTTAGTTCATATTTTTTCTTTTCATGCACTTAAGTGTACTTCTGTTATGTGTTGTGTATATTTCCATGCTTGTGTTCACATTGTTCCTAATACTGGCAATTGTCAGCTCTTTCTTCCCTTTACCTTTTTGATTTTCCTATCCTTTAATGCCCAAGTCAAATTCTACCTCATCCTTCCCACCTATCTCACTCTCCAGTCAGTAATGAACTTGGCTCTTTTGGACTAGCACACTGTTATAATATTTTTTAGAAAAATTATAATACACCTGAGGCCTTAATGCTAGATGTTTCTACAGATCTCATATAGTTATGCTTCTGCAGCAGCAAATAGTCATTTCTTAGCTGGTAAAATATAATTAATTTAATTTTTTTTTGATAGTATGCTAACCACACCAAACACCTCCTCCCTTGACTCTTTTCTTCAAGAAAATATATGGCCATGTGGATTATATAATCTACTGTCTTTGGGGTTGTCATCTTTTTTTTTTTCCTAGAGAGCCATGTTTCCCAACATACTTTTCATCATTTCCCCCCTACATATTGAAGTCATTGAGTATTAAATTGTATATTGATTTAATTTTGGAGGTCTTACTGAGTTCTTTGTAAAACAACTATGCCTCCTCATCCCCAGAAATATTGGCTGATGTATAAGGTGCAATTGTTTTCATGGTCATCTTTTTTCAAATACTTAACATGGACCCTGTAATAAGATGACTTAAGTGCATTATGAATTGGTGTTTCTTGTTGCTGTGAAATGAATGACAAAATACTTTGTCAATTTGTGGTATAGTGGAAGGAACACTAGCTTTGGAGATGGAGGACTTGAATTCAAATTCTAACTCTTGACACCAACCACCTTAAATGTCACATCATTTTATGCCTTAGTTCAGGACAAATCTTGCTGTGTTAGTACTAGGTTTCAATGATCTAGGAAAGACTTCTATTTATAATAACTAGAGATAATTCTTTTTTTTTTCTGATGCCTTACAGAGAAGGCAATAATTTTTATTTTAAACATAACTCATGTTGAGATATTATTTTGATTTATGCTCCAACATCCATGAATTATTTCTAATGTTTTGCTCTTTTTAATTGTAACTTGAAATTTGCTGTAACCTCAGAGAATTCTTCTTTCCAAGTGAAAGCAGCATGCTTGTGATAGCAATTAAATGTATAGGAATGCCTGGGATCTATAGAAAGGCAAAATGAAGAGATTTTTGACTTGGGCATGTTTCAAGGGGTTGGCTGCCAAAAATTGAACAGCTAATGCCATGAACAAGAATGTCTAGTGAATATAGTGCTGATGCAGAATTTAGAAGACATCCTACCTACTGAGCTGTGGAAGCCATTTAGAGTACTTGTCATGATGGATTGGTATCTAAGTAGATGTAGACTTCTGTACACTTAAATGTTTCTCATTATAGATCATAAATGAAGTAGGACCAAGACTTGAGATATTAATGCAGTTGAGCCAATAGCCTTCTTTTACCTTTCTATTCTTGTATCATCAGCTTTTCCTTGTTATTAGTGAGGTTGTCTGTGCCAACCTATCTTCCGTAAATATTTTGATGATGATTCTACTTGAAATATATTCAATGGTCTTCAAGTGAACACTTGTGCAATACCATGTTCACAGCAGTGGACACCCTGTTTATGACTATTTTATTTTAAAATGGTGAATCTATTATGAGGCAGTGGAAAGAGCGTTGACTCTGAGGTGAGTGGACCTGGGTTCAAAACCAACTTTGAGCAGGTAACCTTTCTGGACCTCAGTTCCCTCATTTGTAAAATGAAGAGTTTGGATCATATAGTATCTGAGGTGTACCATCCAGTTCTAGAGTAATGATTGCAATTCGTATGTTACATTTTGTAGTACTCGAATACAAATAAAATATTACAGGATATGATAGAAAACAATAACTCATTTAGTAGCAAATTTTTGTTAATAGCAATGAAGCATTTGTGGAATATACTAATTCAGTTCCAAATATTTTAAGTGGTTATAAGTTTTAAAACTGATCATAAAGGTATACCGTGAAAGGCAGTGATGATATCTAGCCTTGAGATTACTGTGGTTAATTTTCCTTGATTGCCTTTTAATGATAAGGTATAAGAAAATTTTTACAGTTAAATATGCCACAGAAAAATGGGTCCAGATTACCATAGAACCCTTTTCCCTTACCCTCATACTCCTTGTCTAAACACCAGATAGTAGCCTGCAAATCATTTCAAACCAATTAATGCCGTTTTTAGTCACAAATTATTGATTTTAGCACAAAATTTATGCAGAATTGCTCCTCTATATAGATTATAAAATAAGCTTTTTAATTGTGTTTTCCAGGAAGATATGAATTTAAATGAAGATAAAAAGGCACCATTGCGGGAAAAGGACTTTAGTGTCAAAAAAGAAATGGTGATGCAATACATGAATACTGCTTCTAAGGTGGTGAGTAAAACTGTAGAATTGAGTGATGCCTTTTATGTTTGACCATAGATGAAAAAAAGAGAACAGATTTTTACCTTCAAGTAGTGCTATAGTTTGTGAGCACCTCTAATCTTAGGTGTTTTGTGAAAATACAGTTAACAGTACAAAAATGGTAGTGAGATAAATACAATTTCAACATTGTTTGGATTAATAGCAGAAACTATTTTAACTTAATTCTTACCTGAGATAGTTATTTTTCTAAGCACATCTAAGAGATTTATCATTATGTTCCTATCTCTCCTAAGGAGTCTGTCGTTGTTAGCATATTTGAAATAGTGCTGTGCACATCTTTTAGCTCTATTTAGGCAAAAGTATGATAATTTTCAAAGAAATAGGATATCAATAGTAAAATGAAAATATTTATCAATATTAATACTCATAATGTAAAATAATAATGTTTCACTACCTACTTAACTGAGTACTTATAAAGAAAGGGTTTTGTAAAGCCTCAGGTATGATATAAATATAAGCTGTTGCTGTTATTAGCAACAACAATAATAGAAAAACCTTAGTCAATGAATATTTGACTTACTTGCCAAGTGTAAAGAGATCTCAGTCAAAAGCAACAGTGAATACAAGTGTCTTTGTAAATTCTTACAATGAAGCATAGTGTGTGGTTACAAATGGTATCAACTCATAAAGCAGAGAGAAGTAATGGAGGAAAAAAACGATTTCAAGAAGGCTTGGCAAGAGATGGAACTCAGGACTATCTCAAGTTCATTTTATGAATATGGAAGGAACATGCAATATGGAAAGATTACCATAAAAGACTGTTTTGATCATTAAAGACATTGGTACCATTATATTTGAACATTTACCATCACAGTTTTAGATTTACTTATAAGGGAGTTGGAAATGTATTATAAAGAGCATCTATGCTGGAGAAGACAGAATTATTTATAAGAGTCTTGAGTGGTCAATTTACAAAATATCTGAAGGAGGGAAAGATATTGAAGATGGTAAAAAAAATCTTTTATACCAAAATAGGTGATTAGGAAGAAATCAGCAGCTATGAGCCTACATTCCTGCCCTCCCATTTATAAAAAACATCTTTATGTGAGCCATCTATACATATATTAAGGGCATCTTTGTTGAAAATACTAGTAGGGAATAAGCAGGACTTTACAAATGATATTCAACAGTGGATCACTTCTTTATTATTTAGTAGCTGACTGAAAGATGTAAAGAATATGAGATCACATTGTCTTTATTGCTGATTATGAGGAAGGATTTTCTTTCTTTCTTTCTTTCTTTTTTTTTTTTTTTGCTAGGCAATGGATCTAAGTGACTTGCCCAGGGTCACACAGCTAGTAAGTGTTATGTGTCTGAGGCCAGATTTGAACTCAGGTACTCTTGAATTCAGGGCTGGTGCTCTAAGGATTTTATTTCTTAGAGCAAAATGCCACTTTAAATTTCAAAACAGTGTTTCTCTTTCATACATCAATGTCATGGAAGATTCTTAGAAGACATAATAACAGAGACACTACTATTCAGTGACTTCCTAGAGGTCAGGCAGGAGATAAGCACAACATGATGCTAAGGCACCCTGCTTTTGTCTCTCTCTTGCCTGACCTCTAGCCTCTTGTGGAAGAAAAAGTGTCATTATATCATAATAGTATCTCCCTCAGTACCAGTCCATCTAGTTTCTAGCCTGGTCTCCTGCCTTGGAGAAGGAGAGTGTCACTTTTCCTTCTTCCAAGTTCTTACTTCCCTAGGCTTTGAAAGGAATCCATCTTGAGGTCATAGTCTATTGACATTGAAAATGTCTCTAAAATTTTTTTCTTGTTGATTAACAAAGTCCCCACTGATCATCCCCATCTCAGTGATTCTGAATCTCTGTAGATCATCATTCAAACGCCATTGTCTCATTCCTTATCTCTATTATCTTTGACATTCCCTACCCTCCCTTACCTCTAATGTCTCATACCAAAGCTGCTCACCCTTTCAACTATGATCTCTGGGATTCCTGCTCCATTGGCAATAGGTTTGCTTTTCATCTTAAATTTTTTCTTTTCCAACTCCCTCCATCTTTTGGGTGTTACTAAAACCTGACCTCTCTGACCCCCTTTTCATTACTGGCTGCTCGTTCCCTCCCTTCAACTCCTGCCCTTATACTTGAACATAGGTACTGATACTCCCTCAAATACTCTAGCTTCCTAGTTTCTCAACTTATTTATTCTCATGAACTACTCCCACCATCCCGCCTCAGACACACACAAAAATATTCATACTCTTGATCTTGCCATCATACCAGATGCGTCACCTCCATGTTTGTGCATAGAAATTGCTTCTAGAGTGACCCTGGGAACAGGAACACCCCCAAACCACTGTACACCATCCTCCCCTGACTCCCAACACTAACACTTGTAGAGATGCAGCCTGGCAACTTTCTCTGTAGGTGCCATAGTTCCCCATATCTTCAGCAGTCACAGCTTTTGAAGACTTAGTAAGTAAAGTTCTCAACACCAAAGTCCTTAATACTATCAAATGATTCTACATTAGAAACTGATTTGATTTTATTAATGGAAATGACATTAAAGAAGGTGAATTAATATGTGTTTTGCTGCTGCACTTTAAACACTTTAAAAAATGGGACCTTTCCATCTAAGTTGTCAGCTGAAACCTCCTATAGATGCAATCAAATGAAAAATAATAGAATGTGGACTCTTTTAGAACAGGGACTGTCTCACTTTTGTATTTGTATTTGTAAAGAGTAGGTTATGGGAGTTGAGGATACTCAGAAATTGGAAAATTAGGGAGTTTTAGTGAGCATAGATATGAATATTGAAGTGTGATAGTATTAGGACAGGAGGAAGGGAGGAGAGGAAGACAATGACCTAGGTGTTGAATTCCTTGAGAAAAGAGGGAGATTGACCTGGGGACTGGTATACCATAGCCATTATAATCAGAACAGGGTGGAAAATTTTTCATAATGTAAACTTTAATGGAGGAGAGTTTACTGAATAATGGGGGTAAATGGGAAGAGTCTTAAAGTGGCAATGAGGGTAAAACAGTACTCCAGCTCTTCCTCCAGGTTAGTATGGCTGGAGTGTGGATCAGTAAGTACTAATATTTTTATTGTGTTACTTACAGCAGGGATCTTTTCTCTGTGTACTTAGTCTATCCCACTTGCTTTTCCCATTTTTGTTTTCTTCAATGCCATTTCTATTTCAAGTTTCTTTGAGATCTTGACGTTAATGTCTAAATATGATAGATTTTATGAACTCTTTGAAAATTTTAGCTGTAAAAGCAGCTGGGTAGAGTGTTAGACTTGAAATCAGAAATATATTAATTTGAATCTTGTCTGTCAGCCTCACTTTACTCATTTGTAAAATGGAGATAGTAATAGCACCCAACTCACAGGGTTTTGGGGATCATGTATAAAGTGCTTTGTAAATCCCGAAACAAATTTTTTCCATTCTCACCTATATGCATCTTTTTATGAATGTCACAGAAGGTCAGAATATATGTTCATTTACCTCAATTCTCTGCAACTAATGTTGGCAGAAAAATTGCAGTTATTTTCATGAGGGACTTTTTCCAACTGCTTTTTATGAAAATGGCAATAAAAGGTGACCAAATAGCCTATTAAATCATGTTTCTTCTTGACTTTGGACATGCAATGGAATCAACTCTGCTAACTCTTTTATTTGCCTTTCTAAGGAAAAACCTGTGAGCTTTCCTTCTATTTAGCTATGACTCACTTTTGTATAATGAAAATATAGTACTTGATGAAATTCAGTTCCTTCAGTAGTATATCCATTCTTTTGCTCTGAGGCCAAATAATATAATAAAAATTAGAAGAAGAGAAAGGATATAATGAAAATCTATAGAATAAAAGAGGAATGAAGGTAGCATTATATAGCAGACTTACTCTTATACTACATATTTACCTCACTTATACACAACCTATGTGCCAAGTCCTTTTCAGAAGCTGACATGATTTTGAGGCATGTGCATATATCTATCATGTCACTGAAGAATCTTGTCCCACCAGTGATTCACTTAGCCAGACCCTTGCTATCCTTTAATTTACTATTTTCCCTGTGGTTTCAGGAAAGCTGGTGATTCAGGAGGGGAAAGGGTAGAAGGGATGGGCCTCAGGCAGTTAAAATAACAAGTGAGAAATATGGTATAAATCTGTCACCTACACTGCTTCCTCAAAAATACAGGTACCAAATAAAGTAAAAGAAACAAATGTAAAAAGATTGAGGATAGAACCTTTAAATAAGTTGGTGAAGTGAAAAATTGTAGGTTAATCATACTTATATCTATCAGAGTGGAAGATAAGTGGTGTTTAATTACACTAAAGGAACAATAACAAGCAACACAAAGGGATAAGAAAACTCTTGATAGGAAGATCGTTCCAAATAAACTAGCCAAGAAACTTATGTATAAAAAAAAGGAAAACATAGGTAAACATATGAGACAAGGAACCAATATAATGAACAAATACTAAGGATGCAATGAAATTCCTGGGGCATGGTAAAATAGTAGAGCAAGTTCTTACTGAATTCCCAAAATAATGAACCAATAGAATTTAAGAATGGTTGAAAGGTTAAAGATGGAAACAAGGGTGGAAATTGGAGGTCCCAAATAAGGAATGAATTAGACAAATGACAAGATTAGAAAATTTAGATTAAACAATGAATTGTCTGAAACAATGAAACAGCTGTGCCTGAAAAAAGAAAATCACAGGTTTCGATCTCAGAAATATAGAGGTGGAAAGAAAATTAATTGAATTAAGTTAAAAGACAAAATGGAGAAACCCACAAAACCTAAAAGGCAAGGCATTTTATATTCAAGATAGAATGCAGTGATATAAACTTAAGAATTTTATATTCCAGCAAAACACAATAAGAGTTTTGATATCTTACTTCAGGCAATCATTTGAGAAAATTGTCTTGAAATATTGGAAATACAGGAGATAAGGCAGATCAATAGAGTCCCTAGGACATTGC